AAATGGGTGTCACCCCCCATGGTGACTCTCCGTACAGAAGCCGGATGTCCTTCAGCCGGTGCAGCGGCACGCCCATGGCGATCTGAAATCAAGAAACCCGTCCCATGACTGTCAGTCCCACTCAAACCCTGGCCCCTACCACTGACCACAGCGCTAGAGGCGATGGAGGAAGGGGTGCACTGAATGACTGCAGATTCACTGAGCACCCAACCGTGCACACGACACTGTGCATGCGACACGGTGCACACAACACTGTGCAGCACGGTGGCAGGAGAGGCAAAGAAAGAAAAAGACAAAAGGCTTCACTCTGCTCCCACAGAACAAAGAGTGTCATTGGGAAAAGAAGCAATATTCATAAAACAACATCACACAACAGGAAAATATGTGCGTTTTTCAAATAAAGTTAAAGATGCTTAGTGCTACGGGAAATGAGAAGGTAAAGGGTCCAGCTGCAGAACTAAAGGTTTGGTGAAGGATGCAGGGAAAACTGGGCTAGAACAATAAGTGAAAAAAAGACAATTACGGGGGCCACCCGGTGGCACAGTGGTTAAAAGTTCACGCGTTCCGCTTTGGCAGCCCAGGGTGTGCTGGTCCGGATCCTGGGCACGGACCTACTCACCGCTCATCAAGCCATGCTGAGGTAGCGTCTCACACAGAAGAGCTACAACTCTACCACTATGATACACAACTATGTACTGGGGCTTTGGGGAGAAAAAAGAAAAAGAGGAAGATTGGCAACAGATGTTAGCGCAGGGCCAATCTTCCACAAATAAAACAAAAAACAAACGAAAAAGACAATTATGGACACCAGCTTAACCAAGCAATCCAACATAACAGGCTGTCTTCTGATGTGACACATGAGAAGGACCCAACATCACCTGTGTTACCTCTGCCAAAATGCTTAAGCGACTCTAATTGGGAGGAAACAATCAGATCCAAACTGAGGGACGTTCTGCCTGAACTCTTCACAAATGCCCATGTCAAGAACGGAAGGAAAAGACTGAGGAATGGTTCCCGATTAGAGACCAAAGAGACGTGACAAGGAAATGGAACGGGTGGTCCTGGACTGGATCCTGGATTTAAAGAACAAATAAACCAAAACAGCTATAAATTAGGGACATGACTGGGACAACCGGGAGAATTTTAACATGGACGGTAACATTACAGAGACATGAGGTGGCTCAATGCTGTATTTCCCGGGTCGTAATTTTATTGTGGTCTTGTACCAGAATGATCTTGTTCTCAGGAGGTCCTTCTACTCGTATTTAGGGACAAAGTGGCATGAAGGTTCAAGTCAAAACATCTCTCAAAAGGTTGAGCCAAAAAAAAAAAAATTATACAAATACACAACTAGAGAGAGAGAAAGGAAAGCTGCCAGGATACTGACCACTGGGGATCTAGGTACAGGGTCACCTAGATGGGTATTAGTTGTATTATTCCTGTGGCATTTCTGAAACTTTTCAAACTAAAAGAAATAAATAGATGAAATTAAAAAAAAATTCTGGCGAAGTTCAAAGAAAGAAAGAAAGAGAGGAAGGAAGGAGATACTAATAAAAAAATTGAAGAGTTCCCATTAACGCAGGAGTTCCTACCTCTGGGTCATGAGTCTCAAGGGGAGGTGATACTACCCCCAAGGGGGCAAATATTTGCTCTTGGAGATGAAAAAAATCTTACTCTGTGTATGCATAAAGCACAGAGATATCTACAGTATCCAAACAGATACACAGGGTACCTGTGATATTCAAATTTCACATGGGAGAAATTAGGGGAAAAATTGTCTAAAAGGGCTCCTTAAGGGGGCAATCATGAAAAAAAGGCTGAGAAATACTTCTCTGGGTCTATGAAATCAGGGGGTCCACAAATGTATTGAAATTATATAAAATATATTTTTCCAGGGAGAAGTTTCTCAAAGGACTATGTGGCCAGACAAACGTGACAAACACGTCATGGAGGGTTCTCAGCCTCCGTGGCTCTCAGCGTGGCTCCCAGAGTTGCTCACACATCAGAACAGTCTCTCCCAGGGCCAGCTGGCCAAGAGATGGGCAGGAAGGCCTAATCTGAGCAGGACAGGGAACCCCACCCTGGGCGGAAGGAGCCCCAGGGCTTGGAGCCCGTTTCCTCGCCTGTAGCTGGGCAGCCGGCAGGTTGACATCGGCGATCATCTCTGTGCAGGGGTGTTCCACCTGCAGGCGGGGATTCAGCTCCAAGAAGTGGAAGCTGCCATCCTGGCTGTAGAGGTATTCAACCGTCCCTGCGCTCACGTAGCCCACGGTCTTGGCCAGGCGGACGGCACACTACAAAGAAAGAGACCGAGGGGTTTCTAGTGAGTTTCTCGAATTATTTTAATGGTGGCTTATTAGTTCTCCCAGCAAATGCAGACTGAGCACATGCTCTGTGTAAATTACTTTGGGACCTCATGGGTCAGACTCCAATAAACCCATGAAAGGTCGAAATCATCTCAATGACAAGCCCCCAGTATCGTCTTGGACACCGCCCCACTTTGGCATTCAGACCGTAGGGAGCTCTTGTTGGCTCTGAGCTGAAACGGTGCCCCCGTGGCTGCCCCCCGAGCTCTGCAGAGCCCACCTGCTCCATGAACTCGAACACGGCAGGTGTGGCGATGGTGGCTGGCGCCTCCTCGATGATCTTCTGATGCCTCCGCTGGATGGAGCAGTCTCGCCCAAACAGAGACACAGCATTCCCGTATTGGTCAGCGAGGATCTGGACCTCCAGGTGGCGGGCGTGCTGGGCCAGCTTCATGAGAAAGACCGGGGAGCCTGGGATCTCGCTCTGCACCTGGGGGACAGGCAGAGAGGCTGACTCTTCTCTAGGGAACCAGGGGCCGAGCAGGAAGTTCTCCAAAGAGAATGAAACCACGGCAGTGACATCCACGACTTTGTTGATCTTTTAGTTCTGTTTTACCTCTCTCACAGACATTTCATTCCCATTGTTTTAAGTCAAACATTGTCAAAATACATAATGTAGGACGTGAAATTTCCCCACAGTCCCATCTCCTGAAGACAATGTGCAGTTTCGAGTTGGATGTACAAACTGGTTAAGAGTTTATGTGCTGTTAAGAGTTAATGTGGCTGGGCCGGCCCCGTGGCTTAGCGGTTAAGTGCGCGCGCTCCGCTACTGGCGGCCTGGGTTCAGATCCCGGGCGCGCACCGATGCACCGCCTCTCCAGCCATGCTGAGGCCACGTCCCACATACAGCAACTAGAAGGATGTGCAACTATGACATACAACTATCCACTGGGGCTTTGGGGAAGGATTAAAAAAAGGAGGAGGATTGGCTATAGATGTTAGCTCAGAGCCGGTCTTCCTCAGCAAAAAAAGAGGAGGATTAGCACGGATGTTAGCTCAGGGCTGATCTCCCTCACAAAAAAAAAAAAAAGAGTTAATGTGGCTAAGAGTTAATGTGGTAAAGAGTTAACTGGTTAAGAGTTGGGTGTACAGGGGCTGGCCTGGTGGCGTAGTGGTTAAGTTCACACGCTCTGCTTCAGCGGCCTGCAGTTCGCAGGTTTGGATCCTGGGTGTTGACCTATACGCTGTTCATCAAGCCGTGCTGTGGCGGCGTCCCACATACAAAATAAAGGAAGATGGGCACAGATGTTAGCTTCCAAAAAAAAAAATTTAAAACTTAAAAAAGAGTTGAAGAGTTGGGTGTACAAACTGGTTTCCTGCTACACGTTCAGTAATATACACACAGAGAATGTTTTTCTAAACAAAAATAGGACCATAACGCACAACTCTGTAAGCTTTCTTTTCCTCCTACTCAGTGCACTCTCTCAGCCAGCTCTCCACGGTGGAACCTACAGGTTGACTTACTCCATCCTTTCAATGGCTGAAAGGCACTGTCTTATAAGTATGTCATCTAGAGATTCTTTTTTTCTTTTTCTTTTTTTTAGAGAGGAAGATTGGCCCTGAGCTAACATCTGTTGCCAATCTTCCTCTTTTTGCTTAAGGAAGATTGTCACTGAGCTAACATATGTACCAAGACTCCTCTACTTTTGGTATGTGGGACGCTGCCACAGCATGGCTTGATGAGCACTGTGTAGGTCTGCACCCAGGATCCGAACCCACGAACCCTGAGCCGCTGAAGCAGAGCATGCGAATTTAACCACTATGCCACCGGGCCAGCCCCACAGAGATTCTTAGAGAAAGATGATGTAGAAATAAGTATTCACATGGAATGATTCCTAAGAGAAATCAAGCAAAAAAAAAAAAAAATAAGTTGCAATAATATGTGGGATGACCCCACTTAGGTGAAAAATAGTAGAACAGAATTATATGAACATCTTTGTAAAAGTACATTAAAAAAAGTGCTGAAAAGAGAGGGAGGGGTTGGGAGGTAATGGGGAAAAGGGAATCTTCCTTCTTTATTCTTAACATACCATTGAAGTGTTTGATTTTTTACATTAAGAACATTTCCGTATTGCACTCATGTAATTAAAAGAAGAAAGCTTGGGGGAGGTCAAGCGTGTATGGGAACTTTCCACTCAATTTTGCTGTAAGTTGAAAACTGCTCTACAAAGTAAACTCTATTTTAAAAAGAGAAAGAAAAAAGCTTTAAAATCTGTCCAACTCCCAAATGTAATGTGGGATCCAGGCCTGGATCCTGGAACAGAAGGAAGCCATCAGTGGGGAAAACTGGCGAGATCCAACCAAGTCTGGGGCTTACTCGCTGGAAACGTACCACTGCTCATCTCCCAGTTGAGACAAACATGGTGTAGTCACGGAAGATGTTAACAGTGGGGGAACAGTGAAGGGTAGATGGGAACTCTGTACTAGCGCTGCAACTTTCCCGAAAATATAAATTCTTCCCCCAAAATACCCCAAAATCAGTACACCCCAGTGGAGACACGTGGTAGTGAAAATACTACTTAATATAACAGTCACTCATTGCCCACAGCTGCATAATTGGTATACTTTTTCAGAAAGCAATTTACTGATATGTATTCATAAGTGCGTGTAAAGTACACGCTATTTAACTAAGCTCATCTCCTCCCATGGTCTTTCCCCAAGAAAATAATTCAGAAGAAGAAAAAAAGCTAAGCATTATTTATAGTATTAAATACCATATTATACTATGGTAGCATTATTCATGATAATGAAAATGGAAAAATCCTAACATTTAACAAAAAAAGGAAAAGTTCGATAAATAAGACTATGGCCATATAAGAATACCATATAATCATCAAAATAATTGTAAGAACTGGAACAACATGGTAAATATGTTCATGATCTACAAATTAGAAATTTTTAAATATAGATCAAAATATTGGGTGGACCAAACATAACTCTTTAAAAAGATACACGTAAACGAGGTCTAGAAGAAAACCTAGAAATATTAAAATAGTTGGGTTAAGAATGGGAGGATTGTCAGCATAAATTATTTAAAACATCACCAATAATAGGCATAATGTTTTAAAAGTGGAAAACCAGCTACAAATAAGTAAATATACATTTAGTTCCTACAATAAAAATCAATCACCTAGAAATGTTAAAAACACTAAGACTACTGAAATTTACAAAATATCCCATCTCCTGACCGACAAATATAGTCACAGACAGATATTCTGACCCTGTATCTCTGAAATCATTGACAGACACACCGATTCACTGAATTGAACATCTAAGGAAGTGGTATACAGATCAACACAAACGGTGGACTTCTGGGAGTGAAAATGTACACATTTGCTTAGGAACCCAACATAGCGATAATCCAGCTCCCAGAAATGCCTCTTGATGGTGACACAGTAATGCTAATGGAAATAGTCTGGTGGCCAACAATTGAACAAACACAGTTCCCAAAGACGTATGGAAAACTACACAGCAAGAACAGCTCACCTGTCTGAAAAGGATTGGGAAGTCCTTGGCACTCTCCGCCTTCCGGATTCCTTTGCCTCCGCCACCTTCAGAAGCTTTGATCATCAACGGAAAACCAATTTTTTCTGCCGCCTGGGGGTGAAGGACAAAGAGACCTCTTTAGAGGTTAGACAGTGTCCACCACTACCAGGGCAATGAGAAGGTTCTGGCTCCCGGTCCCCCCCGGGCTCTGCGTTTACCTCCAAGCCCTCGTCTACGTCTTTCACGCAACCCTGGTCGTAAACGTCTTCTGGGACACTGATTCTTTTCCCCTGCTGCAGATCGTCTTCCGCCCACTCCACCGTCAGACCTGGAGAGTCACAAAGAGAGCTGAATCCTCCCCAGGACGGCAGAGACACACACAACACAGAAACCACAGGGCCCTCCTCACCACAGCTGCTCTAGACCCGGCCTTGGGACCAAGGGAATACAGACCCGTTCCTTTAGCTTCCCACAGTGGCTTTTAATTCTCTTAAGGACTGACTCACCCTTGAATGGGAAATCAAGCTTAAGAAATTCAGACTGAGTCTACCAAGAACAACCATATTAACCTGAATCCAAAAATATCCCAATTCTACCCCCTGGAGTCATATGTATGTGAATCAGTACTTTCCAAAATGCTGTGGAGATTTAAAAAAAAAACAAAAACAAACTTTCCACTCCAAATTTAAAATTCAATCTTTAGAGGAAAAAAATCAAATTGAATAGGAAACTCCTGAGGCTTTTTCTTGTTTATTTTTTCATTTATCCTAGAAACTCCACTCTTAGGAATTTATCCTAAAGAAATAATTAAAATGTACATAGAGATTTAGCTACAAGATTATCAAGGCTCCATTACTTTTAATATTTTCAATAAATCGGAAACAAGCTAAATGTATACCTACAGAGATTGTTAAGTAAATTATGGTATATCTGTATGATATAATCCTATGCAGGCATTTTAAATGTTGTAAAGTGTATTTATCAACATAGAAGGACTAGTGAGAAAAAACAAGCCACAAACTAGTAAATATAAGGTCTCTGGTGTTTTAAAGGATGTGCCTAGAAAAAAGGCTGGAAAGGTGGACACCTACAATGTAACAAATGTTTGACATTGGGTCATAGGATTATGGACGATTCCTATTTCTTTTTTGTACTTCTCATATTTTCTAAGCTGTCTACAATGAAATTGTGCCACTTTAACAATTTTAAAAACTTAGATGAAACAATTAAAAAAGCATACTCCTGTCACCCCCTCTGCTTGCATTAGCAACACTGGGCTGAGGAGTTCCCCCAAAGGCCCCTTACCACTTCCACTCCAGGGCAGCGTTGGAATCTGCAGCGTCTGGGCCACGATGGTGGAGGCGATCTTATCTCCCAGGGCCCACATGGCCTCACTGGGAGGGCCTAAGAGATGAAGGACATGGGGGAAGGCAGAATAGAGTCAGCCACAAGCCCCTCACAGCCACATACCAACCAAGCGCACAAAGAAAAGCACTCAGGTCCCAGCTTCACAGAGTTTAACATCAAGTAAAGGAAGAAAAAAAATCTATTAGTCTGCTATTCCATCAGTCACCTTCAACACATGTGGACTGTAAACCTCATGTGAGTTACAACCTAAGCTACGTGGCATACACAAAGCTCACTTGGGGGGAAAGACAAAAAGCTAGACCACGGGAGCAAGCTAGCACTTCAAAAAACTAGACCATGGGTTGGCAAACTGTTTTTATAATAAGTCATAGGCAATACATAAATGAATGAGCAGGGCCGTGTTTCAATAAAACTTTATTTACAAAAGCAGGCAGTGGGCCGGATTTGGCCTGTGGGCTGTAGTTTGCCAGCTCCTGGGCTGTACCATCAACCTCCAGAGGAGTTAAAAATGAGGGATAATGACAGCCAATCAGAGACCATGGACAAAGAAAACATCAGTGGGCACAGGTCACCAGGCAGACCCTCAGGGGAATAGCAGGTATTGATTTGCACTGAGCTGCTTCATACACAAGTCTGTGTCGCGGGGCCAGAGGCAGGGAGCAGCAGCAGGGATTTATTGCGGATGGTAAATGAGTCCCCTAAACCACACAAGGATGTCAGAGAGCATAACTGTGCAAAGTTTATAAATACAAATACAAATCCTGAGACAAACAGATGCCACAGACAATAAGTATCATTTTACCTAATAAGTAGCAGACACGAGGGGCTCTGGTCCCAAGGAGTTAGGGCATTCCAAAGGCCTAAGAACAGCCCAAGCAAAGTTGTCGCCTTATCAGAAATGTGACCTCCAAACCTCGTTAGAAATCTGAACGTGGCTGGTATCTCAGTACCAACAGGAACGCTAGCAGAGGGTTCTGCTTGCCCCAGCATCATTCTGCTGTGGTAACCATGGTAACGGCTCCTATGTCCCTGGGCTGGCTAACCTCCCACGTGCCCTCCCACCCCTGGACTTGCTTGCTCCTGACAAGGAAAGTGTGAGGTGGGGATATCAAACTGACCCCCACCTCACAGGGCTGCTCTAGAAAGAGACTCCGACCCAGCTGGGTGTCCCAGCAACACCCCACTTCCCACGTATCTGATGGAGACACACTCTACCTAAGAAAGCAATCCCGTGCTTGCGCAGGAGCTCTGGAAGTTTGGGGTTTTCGGAAGCATGGCCCCAGCCAGCCCACACCGCCTGCAAATACAGAGAGGCATGAACAAAGATCTTCCTTCAAGAACCCGCTTCCCATCACACACCGGAAGCTCTTTGCTAAGTCCTATCAGCCCTGGATTTCGGAGTCTCATAGGACCCGAACTGTGGAATCGAGTTGCTCCAGAGCTCAGAGCATGAACCCCTGTGGGCAGACTGGGGTGTCCTGTCTGACTTACCTGCACAGGGATTCTCTTGGCAATGTCCACGATCAGCTCCACGTTGGCGTAATTGTTGTTGTTGGGCCCTCCTGGGACGGGGACGTACTGATCTGCCATCTTGATGTACTCTGGAATCAAACGGGAGAGAACAGGAAAAAACACTGAGAGAATGAATTTGACGGCAGGACTATGTACGGCCATTGAAAGCATAACCGTGAAGATTGTAGGGCAAAAAGAGACAAACGAGTATGATAATTTGAAAGAAACCGAATATGACTTTATGTGAAAATATATGTGTGTCTGGACAAGGCCTGGAGGGGAACAAAAAAGAAGGAAGCAAGCTATCAAGATAGTGGGATTAGAGATGCGTTTTTAAAAAAATTCCTATCTAAAGTTTATCTTAATATTGTTTTGATATTAAACAATACAAGGCTTGTTGTTTTTTATAATTTTCTTTCTTTATTTATTTTTTCCCCCAAAGCCCCAGTAGATAGTTGTAGGTCATAGCTGCACATCCTTCTAGTTGCTGTATGTGGGACGCAGCCTCAGCATGGCCGGAGAAGCAGTGCATCAGCACGCGCCCGGGATCCGAACCCGGGCCGCCAGCAGCGGAGTGCGCGCACTTAACCGCTAAGCCACGGGGCTGGCCCCAAGGTTTGTTTTTAATCATAGAAAAAACACATAACATAAAAGTTACCATCTTACTCATTTTTTGAGTGTACAGCTCAGTCGTGTTAAGTATGTTCACATTGTGTGAAACAGATCTCTAGAGCTTTTTCATCTTGCAAATCTGAAACTCTATACTCATGAAACGAAACTCCTCTTTTTCACCTCCCCTCAGCCCCTGGCAACTACTATTCTGCTTTCTGTGTCTATGAATTTGACTACTCTAGGGACGTATTCATATAAGTGGAATCATACAGTATTTGTCTTTTTGTGACTGGCTTATTGCACTTAGATAATGTCCTCAAGTTTCATCCATGTTGTAGCTGTGTGTTGCTGCTGTGTCAGCAATTCCTTCCTTTTTAAGGCAGAATACAATACAATGTTTTGATTCTAAAACATTCACGCTTGGGGCCGGCCCAGTGGCGCAAGTGGTTAAGTGCGCGCGCTCCACTGTGGCGGCCCAGGGTTCGCTGGTTCGGATCCTGGGCACGCACCGACGCACTGTTTGTTAGACCATGCTGTGGCCTATATAAAGTGTATATAAAGCGTCCCATATAAAGTGGAGGAGGATCGGCATGGATGTTGGCCCAGGGCCTGTCTTCCTCAGCAAAAAGAGCAGGATTGGCAGACGTTAGCTCAGGGCCAATCTTCCTCATAAAAAATAAATAAATAAATAAATAAATAAATAAAATAAAACATTCATGCTCTTTAAGCCAGAAATTCCACTTCCAGGAATATATCCTAAAAAAAATCACTCATCAACAAAGCCAAAGTATGATGTAAGAGGATGTACACTGGGCAGCGTTTTGAACTTGAAAAGTTTGCCTCAATCTGAAGTCAAAGGTTAGTACGGCTGTACTATGGAATTCTCTAAGATCCTGAGAAGGAGCAATGTGGAACTTTCTGTGCAGACTTGGAAAGAAACCCAAGAGCAATGGTTCCTTCCGGATTGCCTGCCTCCAATGTGTATCAAACACACGAGTGTCGGTGACCCGGGAGGCCCCAGAGATGATAAAGTGAGACGTCAGACCAGCTCCTTTTCCTCACTGGGCTTCACCCTCCTGTCGGAGAAGAGAAACAGGAACACAAACCCGATAACCACAGACCGTGGTCAGTGCCAGGGCTCTCTGGGGTGGGGGGCGAGTGGAGGCCTGCTGTGCAAAGAGCTTCGGGGAAAAGCACTGTCAGCAGAAAGTCCAGCACGTTCCAAGGCTTTGAGACAAGAAAGACCGCGGCCGGCCCAGGAACCAACAAGGCCATTGTGACTGGGCCCCGGAGATGGAGGGTGAGAGGCAGGAGACCGGGCCAGGAGGCCGGCAGGGGCTGAGTCATGTGGGGCCTTCACTGGCCTGAGCGAGGCTCTGGAGTTTCAGTCTGAGCATGATGGGAGACCCCACAGGATAAGGCTCCGGACTCAGACCCGGTTCCAATCCTGCCTGTACCACACACTGGTTGTATGACCCTGGGCAAATGATTTATGTCCCTGAGCCTCGACTGTCTCATCTGTAAAATGGGACTGACAATCAAACCTGTCCTCACTGTTTGTTGTGTGTCTGTGCAGAGCAGAGCCCAGGGCCTGCCCTCTGGGAGGGCCCAGGGGGCCGAGGTAGCTGGTGCAAGAGACAGCATTGCAGCCTCTGAAGCATTTACGGAAGGGGCTGACGGGACCTGAGCTGTGTTTTTAAAAGATCAGTTTGACTGCTGTGTGGAGAAAGATCTGAAAAAAATGTTCAGGGAAAAAAGCAAATTGTCCAAGAGTTATTTATAGACTGATCTATGCTAAGAGATGTAGATAGACAAAGAATAGAAAAACAAGTGAATGATTGAAATACAGCACATACACCTGCAAGAAGAAACATCTGGAGGAAGACACACCAAATTTCTCAAAGATGGGATTTCTACTTTGCCTGTTAACCATTTGTATTTTTATAAGGCACATGGGTAGCTCTTGTTATCAGCAGACACTTTAATTAAATAGAGAAAAAAGGGCAAATCAATACAGGCTGATGAGAGATACCCTGGGACTCTGTTTGGGGTCTAGCATGGACTTGCCCAGGTTGGGTGGAGGAGGTGAGGGTAGCTAAGGATTGGGCATGGCAAGGGGAGGAAGTCAAGGCCCAGGTACCTGCGTTGGCCTTCAGGTCCTCTGGGGTCACCATGACTACAAACCGGATGGCTCTCTCGTTGCGGAACATCTCGTAGGCCCACCTGCGGATGGAACGCATGCACTTCACGGCGGCGATGCCATTGTTGGCGATGAGCACCTAGACAGAGAAAACAAGGAAGGGGCGGGAGCTGCACATTGACCTGCACTGGAGGGTGCGTGCTACCCTAGGGTCCATCTCACCACTGCAGAGCCTCCTGCTTTACCTGGAGCACGTCATTCCTCTTTGTATTTCTACAGCACACAGCCCAACACAGAGCAGGTGCTCAAAGACTGCAGGCTGCATGAATGAATGATCGGACGGATGGATGGATGGATGATGGAATGGAATGATGGACGGAGGGGTGATTGGATGGATGGATGGATGAATAAGTGGATGGATGGATGGATGGATGATTGGATGGATGAATAAATGGACGGATGGATGGACGATTGGATGGATGCATGGATGGAGGGTTGACTGGAAGGATGGAAAGATGAATGATTTTTTTTTATTTTTTTAATTTAAATTTAAATTTTTTTTAATTTAAATAAATTTTTAAATTTATTTATTTATTTTTCCCCCAAAGCCCCAGTAGATAGTTGTATGTCATAGCTGCACATCCTTCTAGTTGCTGTACGTGGGACGCGGCCTCAGCATGGCCGGAGAAGCAGTGCGTCGGTGCGCGCCCGGGATCCGAACCCGGGCCGCCAGCACCGGAGCGCGCGCACTTAACCACTAAGCCACAGGGCCGGCCCAGATGAATGATTTTTGATTCCTTCCTTTGACACCATCATGATTGCCCTTAACATTTTTTGAGTGTTTAGTATGTACCAAGCTCAGTACAATGTATTTTGCCAGCATTATTTCATTTCATCCTCATAACAGCACTTTGAAAGAGATTGTGTTATTATCCCTATTTGGGATTAAAGACATTAAAATTCAGGAGTTAGGGCACTTGCCCAAGTCACACAGCTAATAAGCGGCAGAGCTGGGACTGGAGCCCTCCAGTCTGACCTGTGCTCTGAACTGCCCTCCTGTGGCTGCCTCTGCACCCTGAAGGTTACCAGATTTGGTAAAGAAGAAGGGCAGTAACACTGGCTGTCTGCAACAACAGAGAGCAACTAAAGGGGTCCTGGTTTCAGTTCTCACTGGTGTCATGAACTTGCTGTGTGGCATCAGGTGGATGCCTTCCCTCTCTGAGCTTCATCACCACATGAGGAGCTCAGACTGGCCAACCTCTTAGCTTGCTCTCTAAGAAATAAAACCAAGCTCTAGTCTTCTACTTAAAAAAAAAAAAAAAAGGTATATGGCTTCAAAGCTCCGACTTACATAGCAAGTCCATAATTTTAAGGCCCTTCCATCACTTACTAATCTTTATGACAGCCTTGGAGGACAAGTCTCCTTAGAGATTTGGGATGTGATCACCTCTATTTTACAGAAGGGGAAACCGAGCCCAGATGTCACATCCTGTGAGCGGCCACAGCAGATGGACCCTAGAGCTCCCACTCAGGTTCAGCATTCTCTCTCCTTTCAAAAACAGCTCCTGAGGAGTGATGACAAACAGCTGGGCTTCGGCTTGCTCGATCTTATTCCCACAGCAAGGCTTGGACAGGAGGGAAGGGCTACGGACGGCCTCGCGAGGGCCCCATCTGTTCTAGCACACTCCAGGAGCCCCTGGGGAGCAGGCGGCTGCAGACAGGCTGGCTGTTCTAGTCTCCCAGCTGCGGCTTTCCCACGAGGAGCCTAGGAGAGGGCGAGCCACGGTCAACTCCAAAGCCAGAAAGTGCAGCAGCTCCGGGCTGAGGCCTTCGGCAGCCACCACAGCCTCTGGGCTCCCGAGGGCTCAGTGCCAGCCGCCTCCTGAGCTGGCTGCAGTCTCGGTGAGTGTGGCAAAAATGCAGCTTCTGGATCCCCACCCGGGAGATTCTACCTCCACGGGTCTGAAAGAAGGTAGAGGAATCCGTATTTTCAGCCAGCAAGTCCAGTGGCAGCCAGGTTTGGAAGCCTGTATGAATCTACCGCTCAATACTACACTTATGACGCTGGGGTGAGGGCCTGGGCTCTGGAGTCCGATGGCCGGGGTTCAAATCCCTGCTCCGCCACTGACCAGCTCTAAGACCTGGGCAAGCCACCTCCCCTCTCTGAGCCTCAGTTTCCTCATCTGTAAAATAATACCCACTGACATGGCTGCAGGGAGGGTTAAACGAGATATGATGATATAAAAGCAGTTAACAGGATGCCTGGCTCAGAGCAGGCCCTCAAAAATGCCAACTGCTATTGCTCCTACTATTATTATTATTATTATTATTATTATTATTATTATTATTACCACCACCTTCAAGTAAAATGAGAAAGAAAAAGGCCTGCCACTCAAACTGACCTGGGTTCAAATCCCAGCTTTAGCACTTACTAGCTGCATGACTTTGGACAACAATGTCAAATTTCAGAATCCTAGCTCCTCCACAAATACGACAGGAATAACTAGTCTGTGGCCAGGTCCTTAACTGGACCTTAACTGGGAAATGATGTGAAAAGCCTGCATAAATGGCAAATTTGAGCTGTTTCCTGTCTTGACTGTGATTCTAGTACATGGGTCTCGTCTCCTCTTCGTTGTTGTTAGTGCTGTCGAGTTGATTCTGACTCCTAGCGCCCTGTGGGCAGCAGAGCGGAACCCTGATGGTCTTTTTGCACCCTCTTCTCCCCTTCTGGCGCTCTTTCAGACAATGCTCTGCTGCTATTCACAGGGTTTTCATGGCCAATTTTTTCGGAAGTAGGTCTTCTTCCTAGTCTGTCTTAGTCTGGAAGCTCTGCTGAAACCTGTCCACCAGGGGTGACCCAGCTGAAAACATTTGAAATCCCAGTGGCGTAGCTTTCAACATCACAGCAACACAGCCGCCACAGTATGACAAGCGACAGACGGCTGGTGTGGTTCCCTCACCAGGAAATGAACCCAGGCTGTGGTGTTAAGAGCGCCGAATCTTAACCACTAGACCACCAGGACCCTCCTCTCCTCTCAGAGCTGTAAACCTCAGGAGGGCAGCGCTGGGTTTATGCTTCCCTATAACCCAGAAAGCAGCCCCTTGCACGAAGGTACCTCAGGGTCCTTTGGGGGAGCCTCTCGACCTGCTCAGAGGCCTCAGAATCACCCTCTGTGAACTGGAGGTCATGCACCCACTGCTTCAGGCTGTCGTGAGGGTGAAAAGCTCATGGAGTCCAGCGCCCAGCACTCAGCAAGCGCTCACGGAAGGGTGGGCCTCGCCCTCTCTCTGCAGCGTGAGGACGAGCCTGAAGCTGGGTCTCCCACCTCAGGAGAGAAGCAGTCCCACCCTACTCCAACCCGGCCCCACCCAGAGTGCCGGGGCCCCGTCTGTACCTTCTCAATGACCCGATCCCCCCCGAAGCGCGTGACAAACTCGGCCGGGGAAGCCACGGTGAAGTCTCTGTGCAGGTCCAGCTTCCTGTGTTCTCGGCCCCTCTTCACCAGGTAGAGTCCTGACATGCTGGTCCTGCGGAGGGAACGGGACAGACCCAAATGGGCGAGGAAGCCTGGGACACTCAGGGAGGGAGTCGGGCCCCCGGCGTCGATGAAATCAACGTTGACAGACAAGCGAAAGCCCATCAAGACCCCTTCTGCTTTGCAGTCCCTCTCCAGGGCCCCTGAGCATTTCACGAGGAGACTGAAGAGGCCAGCGCAAGAATGACTGACGCAGGAGTGATCCTCTGACCCGGCCCAGGCTGCACATTTAGAGGGGTTTTTTTTGTGTGTGTGTGAGGAGGACCAGCCCTGAGCTAACATGCATGCCAATCCTCCTCTTTTTTGCTGAGGAAGACTGGCTGTGGGCTAACATCCGTGCCCATCTTCCTCCACTTCCTCCACTTCCTCCACTTCCTCCACACCGCCACAGCATGGCCTGACAAGCGGTGCGTCGGGGCGCGCCTGGGATCCGAACCTGCGAACCCCGGGCCGCCACAGCAGAGCATGCGCACTTAACCGCTTGCGCCACCGGGCCGGCCCCACAGATTTTTCATGCTAAATTAATTTTTACTTTATATGCTGATTGAGGAACTCAAATAATACTAAAAAGCTTCTAACAGGGGAGGAAGTTTATGATCAGGGAGAAAGCCCACGCAGTCCAATCCCTTAGACCTGTTAAACAGTATTGATATCTTTCACGCATTTCTCTGTATATCAAAATTTTTTTAAAAACTGAAAACAAACCAAAAAAAATGTATAACAACAAAATAGAGGTTCCTTGACCCACCACTCCTCAAGAAGCCCACACTGGAGGAAATCACTTTTCTGGCATGTGCACATCTCCATAGTTCTGAGCAACTGTGTGTGTCCTATCTTGTAAGTTATCCATCTGAGACACCATCGATGGCCTTCCTATCTCGAGAGATGAAGAATTAGTGCTCTTCCTCCGCCATCCCATCCGCTTCCCTTCCCCCACCCTCTCAAGAGAGGCATACTGCAATTTGGTAGATTCAGTATTCGATGTTTTACGAGTCTGCAATCGTTATTCACAGATGAGCACTGTGGTATACCAGATTTTCCTTTCTTTCTTTTTGTTTTTTTCCTGGAGTTAATGATTTTTTCATTTACTTGGTTTTCCTTGAAACTGTTGCTAATTTAACCCATTCCTAATGGCCTCCTGATGTAAGATAATTGATTGCTTCCATTACTTTCCATTGGCGACTCCCTCCCAGAGGTCTCTACTCTCCCTTCATCTGGACTGGCTATTCCCTACACCTCTACACAACCATCATTCTGGGACTTCCCTTTGCTGACATCCTTAGGATTCCCTTTGCCTTTCCTGGGGTTTGATGCCTAATTTGGGGGATCACATGGCTCCCTATTTCTTGGTAGACTCCCTTGTTGTGCTGGGGCATATCCTCCAGTAGTTTCATCCAGTTAAAAAGATGGCACAATGGCAGGGCACATGACGATGATGCCCTCAACATGCCTGTCCTGCTCCTGGCTGCACTGGGCTCCTCAGCACTGTCACGTTGGAGATTCCCTTTGATTCTAGGTTGGATCTCTGTTTCCTGTCTCCCATGTGTTGCTCTTCTTTGGTTTACTTTCTCATTTCAGTGGAAGACATCCTTCAGTAGCTTTCTAAGAAAAGGTGTTCAGGGGAGTAAACATTTTGCAGCCTCGCATGTTCTAAAGCTGTCTTTCTTCTGCCCTCACATTTGACCCTATTGTTTGGCTGCGTACAGAATTCTAGGAGGGAAAACCTTCTTCAGAGTTTTGGAAGCATTGTTCCATTGTGTTGTGGCTTCCAAGAATGCCAGAACCAGAGGTGTTCTGACCCTCAGTCCTCGGTGAGTGACCTGTTTTTTCACATCAGAAGCTTACAAGATCTTCTCTCTGTCCTCCATAGTCTACAGTTTCACAGGGATGTGCTCAGGTATGCGTCTGCATCCATCAATCAACCTCCTTCAATGTGGAAAATTATGTCTGGGAATTTGTCTTCAAATATTTCCTTGGTGACTTCCCTGCCTCCTTTTTCTCTATTCTTGTCAGAAGTCCTATTATCTGGATGCTGAAACTCTGGGACTGGCCCACGAGTTCATGTATTTTTCCCTCTCCTATTTTCTCTCTCTTTTCTTCTACTTTCTGGGGGATTCCCTGGGCGTTCTCTTCTAACTGTTCAGTGGAGTTTTTCACTTCTGCTACCGTGTTTTTAATGTCCAAGAGCTTGTTTCTGCTCTGCAAATGTTCCTCTTTATGTATCCTGTTCCTACGTAACATCCTCCCTGAGCCCGATGAGGGTATCCTGAGAGCTTTTTCAAGTTCTCTGCTCCTGGCAGTGTTTCTGTTTCTTCCAAGTTTCCTGTGTCCCTTTGTTTGGGGCCTGCCTTCCTTATTATAAACTGTACCCAAATGTTTGGTAAGCCTCGGTCACTTCCTCGTGACCAAGAGCGGGAACAAAAGGCCTAATGAGAAGCACTGGGCCTGTGGTAAGGCCGGTGGGCCCTGGGTGATCTGGGAGGGCTGTGCGTTGGGGAACCCCAAGCATCTTTACAGTCTTCCTCCCTCACTGGTCCAGTTTCCCCAGGAGAAGTCCCTGGGTCTTCTGCCTGGAGGATAAAGTTGGCCAGGGGGGTGGGGGGGGGGGGGCAGGAAGGAGGAGGAACTGTGGGGACAGGTCTGGGGGGCAGGGCAGCTTTCAGGATTCAGCACCTCTCCTCCTGTTAGGGATACTGGTCCCACACCCTCCCCTGTGCCCGTCAGACCCCAGTCCCAAGACTCTCTGCTTTTCCCTCCAGAGAACAAACCGCCCGCCTTCTGCTGGGTGACGGTGCATATCCAGAACCACCCCGAGTGGCAGTGGGCAGCCCCCAGCCACACAGAGCCGGGGAGGGGATCTGGGCATCTTTCACCCCATCCTTCTCATTTTGGTGCCCTTCTTTACGCCCCCTCCACCCCCAGGCGCAGAGGCACGCGAGGCTGCCGGTCCCTGAGCCTCTCGGGGGCACAGCTGGTAGCTTCTCAGCTGTCCCGGCTGCTGCTTTACGAACCAGCCCTCTTGGCTCTGCTAAGCCGGTTACGGCTTGTCCTTCTGCTTTCCAGCTCCCAAATATTGCTGCTAATCTACCCTCCTGTTCTCCCAGGACCGAGGGGCTTCCACCTCTTTAACAAAAAATGTATTTGGTAGGATTTAATTTTTTATTTATTTATTTTTTCCCCCCAAAGCCCCAGTAGATAGTTGTATGTCATAGTTGCACATCCTTCTAGTTGCTGTATGTGGGACGCGGCCTCAGCATGGCCGGAGAAGCGGTGCGTCGGTGCAAACCTGGTATCCGAACCCGGGCCGCCAGCAGCAGAGCGCACGCACTTAACCGCTAAGCCACGGGGCCGGCCCAAAAAATGTATTTGGTAGGATTTAGACAGGAGCAGAATCTCCTGACAGGATGATAGGCACACACACCCAGTCCACCCTCTTAACCTAGCAATGGGGAACTCAAGCTGGGAGCTGCCCGCAGGGCATTCGGTTAGAGGTTAACCCCCCAGGGCGTGTCCAGCAACTGTGTCATCAGGCTTCTTGGGAGGCCAGCGCCGAGTGGGTTCACGGGGCCAAAATTTTGGTGAAGAACTGATTGATCATAAGGAACACCACCAACATGCCATCTTCTATTGTCTGAACAGGAAATAGTAACGCTGGGAGCAAATAAGCAGTCGGGGAAGAGAAATTCCACTTTACAGATGGGCAAACTGAGGCCCAGCCAGGCGAAGGGGGTCACCCAGCAAGTCAGCAGGCCTGGGGCTCTTTCCGCCACACCAGGAAATGTTGGGAGTGGGAGTTTTCTGCTGTACAAAGTCTCTGTGTCCACCACAGTTTACCGCGGGGAAAGCCTTCTACAAACCTGCAGTCTGTCCCCCGCTCCCCAGTGTGAGCCACCAAAGGCCCTGCCCATAGGAAATGAAGAAACGGACTTCTAGCCCAGGGGAACAAAGAGAGAAATGAGTGACAGACACTCATCATGTTTCTATGCCACAACGGGACATGTATTTTCAATTAAGACTTTCTCTGTTCAACTGGCCTTATGTATGGTGCCTAAATGAATGAACAGACGAATAAACACATTATTTCTGGCCCTTGACACAGCCTTGCTACCTCCCCCAAATCGCAAGCAGCTGTTCTTCTAAAACCTCCTAGGATTGAACTGCTGAAACAAAACAGGACTTAGAAAGGTACTTTGGAGGGTCAATACCATCTTGCAAATGTGAACAGTGCTTTTATCAGAATTGCATTCCATTAACCAGCAAGCACTTCCACGTGTTTTTAAGAACTTTATTTCTTAACAAAAACAGACAGATTTGGCCCGAGGGCCATAATTTGCAGGCCCCTGATCTAGGGAAATAGACACCAAAATGTTAACAGCAGTTATCTCAGGTGGTTGAATTATGGTTGGTTTCTGTTTTCTTCTCTTTGCCTATATTTGTTAAATTTTCTGTGATGATATATTATTTTCAATAAGAAAAAAAGCTATTAATTTTGTAACAGAGATGCTGAAAGCTATGGCCATTCCAGTATCCATTGGGTAAGGCACTCAGTTTCCTCATCTGTAAAATGAGGATAATAACATAGACCTCATAGGGTTGTGAGGATTAAATTAGTTAATACATAGAAAGTAAAAGATGGCGCCTGGCACACAGTAAACTCTATATTATTATTTCAGGGCAGTGATGGCGAGACGATCAGGGGCTGCTGATCTCCCCACCTCACCAGGAAACACATCAGGCCACGCATCTGTGCAGGGCCTGCTGCCCATCCATCCACTCTCCCCATTCTGTCCCCGGCCTTCCCTGACTGGTGGCTTGATCCTTTGGCCTTAGAAAGTCTGAGACATCCCATTTCCGTGCACACAAACCTTAAAACTCTAGCAATTGGACCTAAAGTGCGACACAGAAAACTCAACCATTAGAACAACACCATTTTATGGCCTGGGGAAAACCATTCACGGCCGCCATTTTTATTTCAAAACTGGTAACAGGGCC